ATATACATCATGAAATATTTTTTTTCTTAACTCCAGCTTCAAAGATCACATTAGATGATAAAAGATTCGGTGAATTTCGAAAACTGAAATTTGTGTGCAAAACATTTTATGATCATTATTATTACTATTTCAACAAAATTGCAACCAGATACTACTTGATACAAAAATATAATTCATTATATAGTCCTCCCACTTCATACAAATGGAATGTACGATACTGTCCCAAAAACATCTGGATCGATATTGACAAAGATGGTTCTCGATTCTCTCATAAGTTAAGAGTAGGAAAACAACTATATGTTGAGACAAATTATTTGAAGAATTTCAAGAGAACATTAATATTTGTGGATGCTGAAACATTTTGTAAATATGGAAAAAGCAGATGCCAGAACTGTAAATCTTATACATACTGTGAGACACAAGGATTCACTTTCTTTGGAAACACAGAATCAGACTGTAAAAAAGTTTTGAAAAAGTTAGTTCAACCTACTGATAATGATTCTTATTTAAGATATAGTGTAAATGTTTGTGAATATTGTGATTCATATTTGACAGCACTTTACCGAGGCCAAAACTACGATGCTCTTCTAGATAGTGATCAGGTTTTTTCTTCTTCTTCATATTCTAATATATTAAAAAATTGGTTATATTCTTAATTCTTTATTCAAATAAATCATCTACTTAGTCTTAACCGAGTAGATTTTTATTTATATAATCATGGTTCACATCAACTTATTTCCTAATGAAATATTGATAATGATATTTCACTCATGTTTCAATTCCAAAAAAATTACACTCATGGATGTGTTAATCTCAAACACGATCAAAACAACATGTCGATCTTGGTATAAACTTTATATAATGTTATTCAATTTACATGAAACAAAATACATTTTGATCGAACCATTCAACAACTATTTGATAAAACCTTACATATATGTTTCTTTCATGATTTCTGTTAATTACTCCACATTTAACAAAGATATCTCAGAGGAAGAGCAACTTAAATGTATGATTACTGTGAATTATTTAGGAAAAGAAACAAGTCTCAATCTATTACATTTTAAAAATTCTAAAAATTATTACTCTCTTGTGACTAAAGTTGAATTTGAAAGCCTAAAATCTATATGTGATTTATGTGAATCAAACATTTTCTGTTTC